ACTGATACAGCAAGGGTGTCAAACATATGGCCCGTGGGCCCAAACTGGCCCGAACTTTGAAAATAAAAAAGTACACTTCATATTTAGGAAATGTTTTGTAAAAATAGTTATAATTAAGATTTGTTTTTTTTAGGAAAACAAAGGGGGCAACATGGACTTATTGTAATTTATAGGTAAATATGTTGTGATTGTACTGGTCCCGCCCACTTGACATCTAATTCACCAAAAGTTTGACACCCCCATGCTACCCTAAGCTTTTAGTGCACATAGTTTTCATTGCAAAATGATGTTCATGTCTGATTCTATGTAACTTTTGAAGGTTAAGAAAAAGTGGAGCTACAGTGGACCCCTCGAACCTCATACAATTCGGACCTCGGCCAAAATGTTCAATACATTTTACCCTCGGACGTCAACCAAACCAAAGTCAGAGGTCCAGAAAACATCTGTTGCGGGTCTCTGTTTTCTTTGTTCGGACATAAGAACAAATCGGTTTGATGTGCATCGCAGTTTCTTAAATTTGTGTACTTGCCCTTATGGTAGCCCAGTACCACTACTGGTACTAGGTGAGGTAAGTAGCGGAGTAGCAGTAGCGCAGTAGCAGTAAGTAGCGGAGAAAACCATAGATTTCAAGAAAGAAATAATCGCAAAGCATGAATAGATTGAGTGGCGCTTTGGCCCAGAGGCAATGTCTCTGTCATTGGTGTGGAACCCCAGGGTTCACCTCCTGGGCAAGTTCTAATCCCGGTTAGGGCGGTTGGTACCTTCCAGTGGACTCACCACCCGCAGGAAGGTTTAGGTACGGTGCAATGTGATTTTGGCGGCGACTGCTGCCCCGGCAACCCGGTAACGGATAAGTGGAAATTGACCGTTAGTACCAAAAATTAAAAACAAAGATGCTATCGAATCAATCGATGTTGCCAAAGGACCTTTGTATCTAAGCAAAGGCCATAAATAATTGAAGAAGTGGAAAAGGTACTGCTCATCATCAAGCACTGATCATCACCACTAGGGGACACCCATTCATCCTCCCTTGCCCTCCATCATCACCATCTACATGCACCATAAAACCCGTCACCAAAAAAAAAAAAAAATCTTTTTTAAATTATTCTTAGTTACTTAGTTATACCCGGAAAACGGTTTTCGGATATGGACCACTTCGGTCCTTGAACAGCTACTAGAGCGAAGGGTGTCCTTCCGAGGTCCGAGGTTCCACTGTATTATTATGTCATGTGCCTTACATGTTCTTCAGTTCGTCGATGAAGCGCTTCGTGAATTCTTTGATCTGGTCAATGTAAAAGTTGGGAGGTTTCTGCCGAAGGGCCACACTCTCGGATGTATCGAGGACGAAATAGAGATCGACAGGACATTCTGCTCACAGGAGAAAAAAAAAAAAACAAATCAAAAGTTTGATGTTAGCAAATGCATCATTTCTTGGACTGGTGTAAAACTGGTGTAAAACCTGTTCAAACTTGTTCTGGTTCAAATTGGCCAAATCCCTATTTGGTCTAAATCAGGAGTCTGAAAGTCACTGTTGTCACGTCATTTTATTTAAGGCCCTCATCGGTGTTGGGATGTTTGATGCAAAAACGAAACAAAAGAAACGAACTAGAAGAAACGTCATTTTTGTTCATCACATTTAACGCATAATGTATTTGGAGAATTTTTGCAAAGTAGTTTAGCAAGAAACAGTTACTTTTGATCATGGGTTTGTACTTTAGTCCACATACTACAATTCATTTATCTGTGTCAAACACCATTAGGACAACGCTCGGATCGGGCGCGCCTAGCGGTGGGTTTTAATATTGTCGTGCTCAAATTTCAATTTTAGCTGTTGTTGCCGGTTTTATACAGACTGCCGGACATTACAACTTTCAATTCAACATTTCTATTTCGCTGCCCAAAAGGCTGTCATTTGGACACGTTTTGCAACTACCATCATGCATTGCATTCTTATACTCGAATACATAACGTGCAACGGGAGGCATAACCTTGAACACCAAACATACTGCAAAATACATCGATCCGCAAACTTACCAGCAAGTCTGTTTCTCTGAACCTGGGTTTGCGCTCCGGTCAGGAAAACGCACAGCAGCGCAGCAACGAGCCCCCTGAGCGCCCCCATGATAAAACTAGAGCTAAACAAAAAAAAACCTCAGTAACAAAAAATCTAAACAATGCGATTCCTACGGACTAAACAGATATCTGCAGTTGAACCCTGATTTAGGGCAACTCTCTGTGATCCTGCGCCTCCGCCGCAGTTTTTCCGAGGCGAGATCCAAAGCGCGCAGAAATCCAGAGCTCCACAGAAGAGCGCTCGGTGGAGAGGGAGTGGGAGGAGGAGGAGGAGGGAGGAAGACGGAAAGGAGCACGAGAAAAAGGAGGAGGAGAAAAGATCATAGTTAGCGTGCCTATTTGGACCGGGCCAGTAACAGTGTCCCGAGAGCGCGCACACTTTTTTCAGTTTATACCAGATCCCAGATACGCATGTTTCCTTAAAAGGGTTCCACAGAGGGAGCACAGAGCTCCACAGGAATAAACAAACCTGAATGCAACACGCATGTGGTTTATTAATTTGCAAGGGTGGGGAAAAAAACTTTCGTGAATTGACTGATTTTTTTACTCTCTCTCTCTCTCTTTTTAACTCAAAGTTGTTGTTTTATTTAAACACATATATTTGCAAACGTTTCATCCCCCATATGTGGCAAAATCCAACAAAGAAAAAAGTCTGCCTTTTCTTATGTTCATCACAACTCAATGTGAAGCAGATGAACAGCTGGAAGACATTTAGGCCCCTCTGGAAATATATTTCTTTTCTGCAGAAGACTGGGATAGGAGGAATTCTAGTACATCTGGATCACTCTGCTGTCCAGACCCGAACATAAAAACTGTTTAAAGGAGGGGTGGGGGGAAGGGGGTGCGTTTGGGTTGGGGTGGGATGGGGTGGTTTGCTCAAACCTCCCTACTCCCTAGAAGGGAAGAGACACAGTGCCACCTACTGATTCTTGTGTGTTCAGTTCTTCGGAAACCCTGCGATCCACTTGCATGGAAAGAGGCGCGGGGGACGTTTTGGCCATTGGGCGTCCATTTGGCAAGGTGACATGGGGGGGGGGGGATTGTGCAAGGGTTGCTGAGGACATGTGTGTGTTAAGGACCGTTACTGGCCTGCACTAAGATTTTCCAGTGAGATCACGGGCACAGTGAGAATAAAGTGAGAGAAAGGAAAGAAAAGGATGGAGAGGGAAAGCAGGAGGGGGGAACATCTGGTAGTGATCTTCATTTATTATAGCAGGATCCCATAGTAAATCTGCTGCAGCTCTGGCAGCTGTGCGCTTAAAAAAAGTTCGTTAAATTTTGACGCATGCAATTTGACGATGTCCCAACGACTCCCTCCAAATGTTGAGAAACGCGTCGAAAAACAAGTTTGGAGTTCACACTTCGCGCCGCGGTGTGTGAAGGATGTGAAGAGTCCCAAAGACAATCGGAAATGAGATCACTCAAGAAGCTGTGTCCTTAGCAACTCAGGGACACTTGGAAACACGCTTCCAAAGTGAAGGTGTCTACATTTTTTTTTTACCTGTGGTGATCTGAAGTCAAGGGAAGTCAAAAGTCCTGAGGCCCCAAAAAAGTAAATAATGCCAGTAAATGTGGGCCGTTTTCCTAAAGGTTCCAAATAATCTGTCTTCGTGTCCGAGGGTGGTCTTTGGCTTCGACACCGCTACAGAGACTATGTCGTTTTTCCTTGGAACAACTGAGTGTCGGAGATGATTGATAGCGAAAGGCTTTTTCCGATGTAAGACCTGGTTGACTTTATGTCACATGTCAGATTTTTAAGCAACTTGAAGAAAAAAAAAATGTTTTTAAGAGACATTTTATGCGATTATGAGCGGGTTAAATAACTGAGAGTTTGGATGGTGTTGTTCTTAATAAGACAAAGGCTCGGAGACCACTGGTCTTTAGAAACTCTTCATAGATACACAGCCTCTACTTTGTAGGTTCTGCATATTGTCATAGAAAAAAAAATAGGTTGGATTACAGGCAGAGGTGTGGACTCGAGTCGCATGACTTGGACTCGAGTCAGACTCGAGTCGTCGATTTGATGACTTTAGACTCGACTTGACAAGACGTAAAGAGACTTGCAACTCGACTCGGACTTTAACATCAATGACTCGTGACTTCACTTGGACTCGAGCCCCTTTTTGACTCGACAAGACTTGATACTTTCTCCAAAACCCAAAGTGATCTGTGTAAATATATTGTTATTTTGTTTAAAAGGACTCGAAACAGAAACGTATGGACTCGGGACTTGACTTGACACTTTTTAGTCTTGACTTGAGACTCGACTCGGACTTTGCCTGTCTTGACTTGAGACTTGACTCGGACTTGAGTGCAAAGACTTGAGACTGACTTATGACTTGCGAAGCAAGGACTTGGTCCCCACCTCTCATTACAGGACACAGTCCTACAGTTTCCGCAAGCAGGTGAACTGAAAAGTCTGTAAGTAGTAGCATTGGTAGTAGTGGCGGTATGCAGTAAATTGTAAGTCTAGTGCAGGCATGGGCAAACTACGGCCCGGGGTACCGGATGTGGCCCGTTTGGCTTTTTAATCCTATCGGCCAAACTTGTCCAAATGCTATTAATTATTTATATTATCATTATATTTCTTGCCCTTTTCCCTGCAATGCCCGTATTTCTCCAATAAATGGTGTAGAAAAGGCTAGCTTTTTTTTTTTTTTTTTTTTTTTTTTTCCTTCCATTTTACGGTAGCATTTGTCAGATTGACCTAAGGATATCGACTGGTCATAGTTTTTCAGCCAAGCAGAAACACACAAAAAAAAAAATGTCCCCGACATATTGAGAAGAGATACAGGGAAATCTGCATTCAGCAGCTGAGGTGTTTTCTTCATGTTTCTTAGAACAACCAACTGGAGACAGGACAGGACACGGGCCAAGTTTCCATGGAATAGTGAGCTTACGTAGAACCACAGAAGTGTCCAGTAGTAGGAGTCAGTCAGAATAAAGTCTCCAGAGTGTGTCAGCGTCTACTGTTTTTCATTTGTACATTGGCGTTTTTTTTGGGGGGGGGGTTGTATTTTTCAACCAGCAACATTTTTTTTGTATATGTGTCACTGCAGCTGTGCCAGTAGGGGAAAAGGAACTGTTTTAGTTTATGAAGAATAGCAACAAATGTCACAAAGCATGTGATTACGGTTTGAGATGAAAAAACATGAGAACCCTAAACCGAGAAAAAAAACAAACAAACATCTGGTCTTTTCCAGAGAGAAAAGTACAAAGGCCAACACATCGCACATGGAACAGATTAATCTGCATTTGACTGATTTGTGTATGACCTCATCAGCCCCCGGGGCTCGGCGAACGTACAAGAAGACCAAGGTGGTTCAAAATCGTACTTCTGTGTTCGCTGCGCTGCAGTTGAACTCTTCACTGAACTTCTTCATAACACCATAGATAGCAATTTGGGGCTTGGTCAGGGGATGAGGAAATTGCAGCCTAATCAAGATTCCAAACCACGCCAAAAGAAAACTTAATGACAGGAAATGGAGCAGGAAAACGTTTGGCCACATCCACTCCTCAACAGTTTATACTGTGCTCAGATTTTTGTTTTTTTTCCTTTGCAGTTATGTAATGTGTAATGTGCAGTTACAAGCCCTTCATTTCACAACATTCATTTTAATACACCAAGCTTTTGAATGATCCGATTTTTTTGGAGAAAATATCATCTTCGACTGATTAAACGGCGTGAAGAACTGGTTCATGGTCATCTGCTGCCCCCTAGCGAACTTTTTCTTCCAGTAGCAGGTGGTACGTGAGTTCAGATTCTAGACACTAGTAGTCTAAACACTGCTTTGATTGGTCTAAATTTTAGTCCTCTGCTGAACGGATTTCATACGCCAATAGGGGGCACCATGTCACCTTTAACAAATAGCATTTGAAAATCTCATTTTTCCAGTTTGAGACTCGGAAAAATAGCCTGAGACTCATATTCAGGTGCGACGTATTCTACATTTTACGATATTGTGTTCAATATTTCTCTAGTGTTGGATCAATGCAGTAGTCAAAAAAAAAAATCACAGGACTAGAATTTCTATATTCCAGTGCGACGTATTCCACATTTTACAACATTGTGTTCAACATTTCTCTAGTGTTGGATTAATGCAGTAGTCAAAAAAAAATCACAGGACTAGAATTTCTGCAGCCACAGCATTTTATTATGTTGCTTTTTTTTTTTTTTTTTAAATACACATTTTATTTTTCATTCTTTTATTTCTTTGATCGCCCGCAGAGTTAGCACTATTTGCATACGTTTATAATAATTAACAAATCAAACAGCATCGGCATCCACTGGACGTTGGTTAACACGGCTTCTCTAGTATTGCTGGATTAAGTTTGAAGAGAACGTCAGCGCACACACTCGGCATACAAAGGAAGTCTCAGAATGAGTTCGTCTTTGTGGGAAGGAAAAAAAAAAAAAAAAAAAAACACACTCATACAAAGGAAGTCTCCGAATGAGTACGTCTTTGTGGGAAAGAGAAAAAAAAAAAGCGTCAGGTCATGTTAGAGTGGCTTTTCAGATGCCGCCTCAGGGGATTCAGAGAGGTGTAAGTCTTTGGAAAGATGTGGCACTGGC